TTTTTTTTTTTTTTTGCCATTTTACGTGTACAATTCAGTGGCATTAATATATTCACAATGTCACACAACCATTACCACTACTATTTCCAAAATTTTTTCAATACCCCCAACAGAAGCTCTGTACCCACTAAGGAATAACTCCAGCTCCCGGTACCCTCTATATGGCATTCTGTCCCTATTATATTCTACGTATCTCATATAAGTGGAACCACACAGTATTTGTCCTTTGTGTCTGGCTTCTTTAATTTAGCATAATGTCTTTTTTTATTTAAAAAAAATTTTAATGTTTATTTTTAAGAGGGAGACAGACAGAGCGTGAGCAGGGGAGGGGCAGAGAGAGAGGGAGACACATCCGAAGCAGGCTCCAGGCTCTGAGCTGTCAGCACAGACCCCACCTCGGGGCTCCAACTCATGCTTTCGTGAGATCATGACCTGAGCCAAAGTCGGATTTTTAACCAACTGAGCCACCCAGTTGCCCCCATAATGTCTTTTTAAAAAAGATTTTAGTTTTAAGTAATCTCTATACCCAATGTGGAGCCCGAACCTACAGCCCCAAGATCGAGTCACATGCTTCATTGAGCCAGCCAGGTGCCCCTCATTTAGCATGTTTTTTTTTTTTTTCAAAGAGAGAATTTCCTCCTTTGTTGTTTTTTTTTAAGTTTTATTTATTTTGAGAGAGACGGAGAGAGAGAGCATGCAGGGGAGGGACAGAGAGAGCGGGAGAGAATCCCAAGCAGGCTCTTCATGGGTAGTGCAGAGCCTGAGGTGGGGCTCAAACCCACGAACCTTGAGATCATGACCTGAGCCAAAATCAGACGCTTAACCTACTGAGCCACCCAGGTGCCCTTCCTGCCCCCGCCCTTTTAATGGCCACCCTAATGGGTGTGAAGTGGTATCTCATGGTCAACACGAAGCTTTGAGGCTGGTCAAGAAGTTGTACATGGAAGCCGGGCCAAGTGGACAGTGTAGACTTTCAGAAGAAATGCAGAAGAGAAAACAGGGTATCATTGGGGTACCTGGACCTGAATGTACACAGAGATGCAAGACATTCACAAACCCAGCACCGTTTTCAAATAATTTATTAGGAATTTAAAACTGAAAATAAAACCTGGAAAAAGAAGTTACAGATGTGGAGAGAAGAGACACCGGAGGGTGGTAACTTGCTGGCTTCAAAACACCATGTAACATCTTTTTTAAAAATTCCCCAAACAAATCAGAAAACGGAATTCCAGGGCCCTGAGCCCATAGGTGGGCCCAGTGGGGTGGGATGGGGTCACAAGTAGGGGAGGAGAAGGAAGCTGAGTCTCTCATGACTCAGCTCAAACGTGTAGAAAATTAAAAATAAAAACCAATAAAATGCAGCTTCTCTTTTATTAGGAAACATTAAAAAAAAAAAAA